GGCCCCGGTGTTTGGGAGCCCCCTGTTGGCCACAGACAGTCACTACACTCAGAGTGTGGGGAAACCCCAAAGTGACTTTTGAACAATGAACACACCCCCGAATCTAAGATGTTTTTTCATTGGCTAATCCTTAGCTTTCAATTATAATGCCTGCAACATAAACTTAAAGGTCTTTAACCATGACCCAGATCTACAGACCCAGATCTATGGAATGACTATCAAAACAAATGGAGCATATTGACAGAAAGGCCTGAGAATGAATGGCTTACTTGTCATGGCATCACGTCGGTCAAGTTTGGGTTGTTATGACAACACTTCGAACCCTCATGCTGCACGATAACTTTGGCGTCCAAAATAATCACAATAATAAAAAACTGAACAGAGCACAGCACAATTTGTTTTTTAATAAAAGTGGAATAAACGTATTTATTTTGTTGTCTAAACAAAACCCAGTGATAGTACCACATACCAGCTACAATAAATCTAATATTTTGCTCATATTTTTCTTCTTATGGAATCCAACCCATTCCCAGTTCTCATAACAATTCTTTTGTTGTCTGAGATGAAATTAATTGAATTTTCCAGAGGATTCTCCTCTCAAGCGCATTTCTCCAATGTTCTCAGCACACAGTGTCTCTTATTTCAAGTGCCAGTCCTGGGGTTTAATCTGATGTCTGCGTACTAATTGCCTATGCGATTAATTAGCCCCCAGATAAAAACAATCATTAACTGCCTTATGGCTTTACAGCGCCACGATAAGGACATCCAGGCGCTTAAGGACTCGCGTTACGTTCAAGCAGCTCTAGGACGCCATTTCAGAAAGTCATGTTGCTGTCATCCATCCGTCTATATTCCATATGTGCTTATCCTGGGTTGCGGGGCGGGGCGGGACGGGGCGGGGTGGGGTCAAATCCCAGGAAGAGCAGAGCATGAAGCAGTGGCAACCGGTGCATCAGTGCTCACTTTTATCTTATCCATCCATCCATCCATCCTTTTTCTGTAGCCATTTGTCCTATTTATGGTATGTATCAATCCATCCATCCATCTATCCATCCATCCACTCTTTCTCTGTAGCCATTTGTCCTATGTATGGTACATACTGATGTACAAAAGACAAATAGAAAGCCTTGAATCACTCTGAGATATCTGGAACCATTTAGAGACACCAGTTCACCTGAATGCATGTTATCAGGCTGTGGGGAGAAGATTCAAACTCTTCAAATCCAACCCAAAACGTCAGAGGTGCCGGACCTCAATGCCGCCCACTGAGGTTCTTAGTCACAGACAAAAAAACGTAAAAACCTGATCAGCTTTCACAGTTGGTCTAAACCAGTGGTTCTTAACCCAGTCCTCGGCGAACCCCAGACGGTCCACATTTTTGCTTCCTCTCAGCTCCCAGCGCACCTGTAGCAGGCATTCGGTGATCCTGATTGGCTGGGAGCTGGGAGGGAGCAAAAACGTGGACTGGACCACACAATGGTAACTAGTTACCAGGTAATAACACTGATACTTCATTGATCCCTGTGGGGAAGTTCTCTCGTGCCCCCCCCCCCTCCGGCTCTCCATGACACATGTGTAGGTGAGCCAAGGGCAGCCACCTGCAGCTGGGGGTTAGAGGCCCAGCGCAAGGGGCATCAGACGTCACTGTTCGGCTGCGGCTGGGCTCAAGCCAACAACCTTCTGATCTCACGCACAGAGGCTTAGCCCCCTGAGCCCCTGAGCCGAGACCCAGATAGACAGAGTCGGTTTATATTAATCCTAATCTTCACGTCAAACATCTGTTTGCCTGGGGATGTACCTGCCGTTTAATGTTGCAGGATCCCAGGACCTGCAATCTCCATTTTTCTGGGCCCCAAACATCAGTCCTGTTTTTGTTTTCCTCTTCGTGTTGTGCTACAGACAGTCCCTCCCCCCACAAAAAAAATAAATAAACAAACAGGTTGCATTACACTGTGATCATGGGTGTCGCTGCCATTAAACCTGAGGGGGACGTGTCCCCCTCACATTTCATTATTATTTGTTTGGACCCCCCTACATTTAATATAAAATATTAGTTTTATGCCAGTGTGCCCCCCCCCC